ATAGAAAATCAGGCAAACAGAAAAAAAATGATGTGAATATTAACTCCAGGAAAAACAACAAACAACAAAATCTTATTAGAAAAGAAATGTAATTATGGCATCCTGACAGGAAGAGACAACACAGATCTTCCAGAAAGTTTGCTTTGCCTCAGCCCAAGGGTTAATACTGCCACAGATCCCCACGCGTGAAACGTGTTCTCTCAGTAGCTGGTGGTCAAATGTCTGGATTAACTAGATATCATTGTGAGTCAGCTGATGTTTGAAATTCAGCATTTTAGGAGTATCAACATATGATGCATGAAAGCATGGATCATATGCAAGATGATTATTGTGTGAAAGTTGAGGATGGTCTGTAATAATAATACTACTACTAAAATTTATTGAACTTTTACTGCATGCCAAGGGCTTTCCGTGGTGTATCTCCAAGGATAAACCTTATCTATTATCAGCTCCATTTTACTGATGAAGAAATTGCGATTTAGCGAGGTTGGACAACTTTCCCAGAGTGATGGGTTTGGATTAGAATGCAGGCAGTGTAGTTTCAGAGCCTGTGCTCTTGCCTATTGTTCTCTTCCATCTCAACGCATAGCAGAGAAATGCTGCAGGGGATAGAAACTTGAGAAATCAAGGAGGAAGGAAGGCTCCTCTGGTGGAGGTGGTGGTAGAATGAAGTGGACCAAGGCCAGAGAGCAGGAGGCAGGAGGGACAGGAGGCTGACTGTCAGTCTACTCATAAGAACTGAGAGTTGATGTGATTTTGTTAACGATTCATTTAACTTAGAGAGCGACGCTGATCAACTTCTTTACTCTACTGAAGAGGGCAAGAACATTGGCATCAAAATGGAGCTTTCTCCTGAGACTCTCACTTCATCCCTTTCATGTCTTTTTACTACCATTTCTTTCACTTTCATTCCCTTTAATCACCAGGCTTCATATTACAAGCAGAGAAACCCAGGCCTTGCTTCTCTTGTTTGAACTTCACTTATATTGGCCCTTGGGCATCTTGGCAACTAGGCAAGGTGACAGCAACCTGGAGGCAAAGAGGACCTGGTTCCACCTCCCACCCCCGGCCTCATTAAATATGGTGCCGTTCCTACCAAGAGGGCTGGGGATGGAGGCTGTGTGGGCAAAAGACACAGCTTCCAAATGTTCTTGTAAATATTCATAAAAACATGTCAGTGTTGCTAAACCCACAGCAAACGATAATCATCTGTCCCCCTACACCCTGCATCTTTTTGCTGTTAATCCTTTTGTCCGCCTTGAATTCCTTCCCACAATTGCTTCTCCCCTATCCTTGTGTTTTTGAATTGCTGCCAGCTACCCTAGCCTTTGCAGCCCTTCATGCAAGTCTGTGGTACCGTTTTAAAAGCAGTGATCCTCTGCTGCCAGCAAGGGATGTGAAGGACACACATCATCCTAGGGATGTTGCTTCTTCTCATCTCGATTCTTTGCTCCTGGGGAACACAACAATTATTCTGCCCAGGAACTGATGGGGATTTCTGAACAACCTGGCACATCTGAAACATTTTTCTGACTCATTGAGCTGGCATATACTGCTAGATCAGCACTGGCCCTGTTCCACACAGCCTGTCACCAACAGTGGGTGTTGTTGTAAGCACTAGTTTTGATTGTGGCAAGATGGGCTCTGTGACTCTCCTCTTGTTCTGTTGAGTTCAGAAAAGGCATCTGGTCTCCATTCACATTACATTTGACAAGAGTCCAAAACCTAAATGAATGTTGCTAATAAAGAACTGTAAGGAAAAAACATGTTGAGAACTACTGAGTGTATTCAACACATATCAAGCTTTGGAGCGGGGGGAGGGAGAGGAGAGTGAATGCACTGGGTTAGGCTCACTGATTGGAGGGCAAGAGCTCCGAGCTCTGTTCCTGGCTCGTCCATGAATTGTGCCTCAGATTGCCTTCTTTAAATTGAGAGTGCTCAGAAAGTGCTTTATGATACAGAAGAGACTGCATGTGACCTGCATATGTGTAACTCTGCTGTTGGTCAACTAAGTTTCAAATGAGCTAGTATTAATTGAACAACCACTCTGTGCCTAAGTCACTGGCTGCCAAGGGGTGGCTTTAGCTCCTGCATAATTGTCACTGGCTCCCTCTCTCCAAACTCTTAGATCTGGATAATCGGCATGTCTTCCACCTTTTGTATAGTACGTTCAAGCTCGGCCTATGTCCATCTCCCCTTTATCTTTCACAGGCATATCTCTTGCATTTCAAACTCTATTTTGGTTCCAGAGGGCCTAACCAGCACAGGAGAAGAGTTTATGTCTAAATGGAATTGGTCAGAGTAGGCTGAAAAATGTTAATACATGTGAACCTAAATTAAACTAAGTATCAATGAAGCCTTCATTGAACAATGATTATTTCCTGGGGTATTGTCTAAATACAAACTATCTGCAAAATATACATACACCGAGGCAACTGAATGAGAAGACTTTTGAAAGAATATCTTTAGTTTTAGGATAATTACATTATTACAGCTAAAACTCTTTTTTCAGATAACGTTTAGCTAAAATAAAATGAAATGTTGGATTTTAAATCACCTTAGATTATCCTGCTAAAATCACATCATCTGTATATGAAAGACTGCCTGTCTTTATGTTATCAACTATAGAGGGCATATGCCTCGCTGATTAAAAAGCAGTGTCACACAAATAAGAAACAAATATTCCCACTGGATATTTTTAACTGCTTTGTCCAGAGAAAATGTCTACTATCTCAATTTTGGCAGAAATATGATGTAGGATGTCTATACATTAAGATTGTTTAGTTTTGGCCCATGATTCTAAGACCTTAACCAGTCCAGTTCAAGACTGGGAAAAGTGAATAGAAACTACAAATAATCTAATTAATCTAATATTGTTCTTAGTGGGTTATCTTATCGTAGATAAACACATCTAAAGCTTGTCTGCTGCTCAGGTAAAACACTGGGCCAGGAATTCAGAGTTGTAATTTGTCAAACAAACATCTGGTACATGATGGAACATATAATAAAGTAATAGTCTATTATTTGGGGGAAGTGGAAGGCTGCCCTTTTTGAAGATGGAAAGGTCTGTGCTTGGATCTAACTATGTATGACCACATCTGAATAAGCAAGGATTGGAACACAACGTTCAGGACAATCTTCAAATATCTGTCGGTAAAAAGTCTTAGCAGAGAAGCGGGAAAAGTGTACCGGCTGACTTAAAGGTGAGAACAGTGATGAGAGCAACTATACTTGTGTTAAGTTCCAGGTGTTGGCAGAGCAATCAGGCATCACAGACCCTGAAGTCAGCTAGGAAGGTAAAATTAGAGGGTTGAGGGACAGATCTGGGATTCAGCTGCTGAAACTGTAAGAGTTGAGCTCCTAGAGAAGGAGTGTACACAGGTCAGAGAAGGGGTCCAAGGACCCAAAGCTTGTGAGACCCTTGTGACTACAAGTCAGGAAGGGCAGTGGACAGGAATGTGGAGACAAGTCAAGGAAGATGGGAACTGAAGAATGAATCTCACATTTGGATTAGAGCAGATCATTCGTTCAGTCATTCAGCATTTAAACCAATATTTACTGAGTGCTTATTTGTACCTGGACCTGTGCTTAGGAGTTGGAGATATAAAGATGGGAGGATGTGTGTCTTGCCTTTTAGCGCTGAAACAGAAAAGCAAACACTATTATATAAGATGATAATTGCCATTATTACGGAGGTACTACAAATTGCACGGGACATTTGGGGGAGTCTCCTTCAACCCTCAATTTCCTTCCAATTACTGAATCCCCTCTCTCTATCACAGCCAAATTTCTACATTTGCTGTTTCCATTTCTTTACCTCTTACCCCTCAACTCACTCCATGCTGGCTTTTGCCTCCACCATTCCACCAAAATTGCTTTCAAGTTCCTCTGCTAAATTCCAAGATAATCCTCAGTCCTTATTTTCTTGACCTCTTGGCAGAATTTGATACTCTTAATCATTCTTTTCTTTTCAAAATACTTCCCTCCTTTGGCTTTCCAAGGCAACACATTCTCTTTCACCTTAGTGGCCAGTCCTTTGAACACTGTTTTTCCTCTACCCACCCCTTAAATATTGAGGCTCCCTCAATATTTAGAGAGAGAGCGGTCTCTTCTTATTGTCTGTACCCAAGTTAGTTCTTCACAATATTCATCACACTTCACTGTTATTTCATTGTCTTTCTTGTAAACTTTGTGAGGCCAGGATTGTATCACCACTCTATTTTCAGTGCTAGCACCACGCATAACATGAAGTTTGTGCTTTATAAATACTAGTTGAGTGAATGAATAGTTGATTGAGTCTGGAAGTCCTTTACAGAAAGGTGACATTTCAGCGGAGTCTTAAAAGAAGAGTAGGAGTATCAAGAAAGAAGAAGTAGAGATTTTTAACATGATAGGTGATTGAGAGGAATTTGCGGATTTTGAGCAGATGAGAGATGTACTGAGATTTGAATGTTAGATCACTCCAGTGGCAGCGTGGGGGATAGATTGGAGGAGCGGATTCAGGGCAACTGATATTGCAATAGTCTTAACAAATAGGGTGATAGCTATAGTGATGGAATGAATGGTTTAAGGCATAATTAGCAGGTTGAACCAACAAGCCTTAAAGGTAGATTCGTTATAGGACGTGAGGGAGAGAGAGGAATCTTGGATGCCTTAGATTCCTTCACCAGCATGGAAAGCACAGGAGAAAAGGAAATTTGAGAGAAAAAGTTTTGGACCCAATGAGTTTTAGGTTCTTAAATTCCATTATGGGTGCAGAAGTCAGATTACATAAATTCTAGAAGTTCAGGAACCATGTCAGTTTAATCACATAGTTCATTCTAATCTTGGGTGTTTGATAAATTCTTTTGACGGTATTAATGGAATACCACATTGCCAATACTGCATTGCCCTTCCATCCTGGGGAACCCCTTTATACAAAGCCCTTGTGTTTATTTACTCACCCCTGTGGGACTTTATGACTAGGTTGCCCTTTAGATGAACATTATCTATTTTTGCAGATGCTGTTTCAAAATCGATTAGTTCTCCGACCCCCCCACTGAAATCATCCAACCTATTGAAGAAGCAGAATGGGATGTGGATTATAGGGTTTCAGATAACACCAAGTCCCTAGTGAAAGGTATGTTATTTCATTGCTTTGTTCTGCTTTTGGAAAAGTGTAGCTGTGTTTTCTTTTCTCCAACTGTATAGGTCACAGCAATTTTTTTTTCCACTGGGAATTACAAGCTATGCAGAAGATTTCCAGAGTAGAATCACAGTCTCACACAAATGCTAAATACAGCTAATCAGGGCCTGGAAGGTACACAGAGGGTAATTAATAGGTTATATTTGGGTCAGTACTAAGGTCATTTATGAGATAATTCAAGAAAAACAGACGCTTTGCCTTTCTGTAGGGAAAAAATGGAAATATATTCATTTTATGCGTTGTAGTATATGCATCAAAATGAGCTAAAGACATTTTTGGTAATTTCATATGTATATGTATTTGTCTATGTAAAATGATTTTAAAGAGCAAACTGAAATATTGTACTGTATTCATAATAAGATATCAAAATCGGTAAGAAGAAATTGCAGAAATTTGTCCAACACGCTATGAAAGCGTCAGAGCCAACAAAAGAGGATTCTCACTCTTAGTTTAGTATACTTTCTGTTACTAAAGAGTCATTCATTTGGTAGTCTTAAAGCCTTCACTGTACAATATAACTAATGAACCCACGATAACAGAACATGCTTATACCGGATCTTAGTTCCCATGGCCTGTGTGGGCTTTTTGGGGCTTTCCTGACTACTGTGAACACCAAATGAGAGGAAATAATGTTAACTCAAAGTGAGAATGTAGGGTAGATATTTAGGAATCACTGAAGACTGTGAAGGTTATCAAACTGGTGAATTACAGGAATGGACTGAAAACAAAGGCCATAAAATCTCTTCACACACTCATACAAGTTGATCTTATTTATACTCATTGTTTTAACCACCACTCTTATGGGATCAGATTTCTCCACAACTTCTTTCTTTATGTCAGATCTTCTCTCTTGAACTCCAGATCCACAAATCCAATTACCTTCTTTCTATATCTACATCAATTTTTGTCTAAATTCTTTACCTTATCAATATCTTTATCTATATTTCAATGTGTTCAAAGTTAAACTCATTATCTTCTCCCATAAACCTCTCCTTCTTCCTGATGAGGTTTCTAATAAGCCAAACGTTCAGTCCTGGGTATTATCCTCCTTTTCTCTCTCTCCCTCATTGCTTTTATCTAAACAGTCACTTCTTAGACTGATTTGACTTATAAATACTTATGGAAACGACTCCTTTTATTCCCTTCTACTGTCATTGTCTTAACTCAGGCCTTCATGATTCTTTCTCTGAATGACTCCAAGAATGTCTTACTGGATCTCTCAGCTTCTAGTCTTTCCTTATCTTCTCTCTTTAACCCATGCCTTGAATCTACCAGAAAGAGTGTTTAAAAAAATACAAATCTGGCCACGTAACTCCCCTCCTTAAAACCCTGGTCTGCCTCTGTTATCCTCAAAAAGTGACGATTAACTTCTATTTCTCACATAAAATAGAGGCCATCAAGCATGAACTTTCTTAACTTCACTCAGCTCTCACCTTGTGTGTATATGTATATGTATTTGCATTATTCCCATCCTTGCTTCCTTCTCAACATCCTTATTTCTGACCAAGGCCAAGCTCTGGGCCCACGATCTGTGTTCCTTTGCTCTCTGCCTCTTCAGGGCTCTCAGGCCATCGTTTGTGCCCTTCTCCTTACCCTCCACTTCTCTATTGCCTTGTTCCCCTTAACATAGACATGTCCAAGTTTCCCTGATCTTAAACAAAAATCATTCCTCAGATGCAACAAGGCCCAAACCCAACTCACCATTTCTTCACACCATCTGTGATTAACTGTTTTTTGTCCTTCAAAACTCAGCTTGGGTTGTATTCACCACCCCTATTCCCACTCTGTGCTATCAAGTCATCTTGAATATTTATTTATCAAACACTTCATATATAATAGTCAACTATTTGCTTGCCTCTCTTCTCTATTAGACGGTGAGCTTCTTTAGTAGGAACTGGTATTATATCATTATTACCAGCAATTAATTAATTAATTAAGTAGTGAGTATAAATGTCAAAACATGATCTCAGGTCTGGACACTCTTATTTTCCTAAAATTTCTATTTTTGGCTCTCATATTATCAAAAGCTAAGTTTAATCAATCAGGTTTCTAACCCTGCCACCCCCCCTCCCCCCAGAGGGCTGTGTGTAGATTCCAGGCAGATTATAAGTACTGATGCCGGTGGGGGTAGGGTGGGGGATATTCTGGTGCCAAGGTGCTCAGGCTGCATCCCCGAGACTCAAATTCCTGCTGGGTCTCCATTTAGTGTACATTCAAATGCTACTCCCTCCTGATCCATACCACAAGCTACTCTGACTTGGCTTTCTCTTGACTACTTCTATCTACTCTCAGGAAACATGTAACCAGAATTTCTCTTGTTCCCTCTCCTCCCTAAGATTAGGATAGGGGTTGAGCAGGGAGTAGGACCTCTTCTCAGAAAATACCAATGTCTTAACTATCTTACTTTGTCTCTACGTCTTTCTCTGTCCCCAGGGAATCAGATTTTAGATCAAACTGGCTTTGACCTTTGCTTCCAAATCTGTTGGCATAAACTTTATGCTCTGAGTCTTTTAGGGATTAGGGTTTCAAAACCCCAAATCCTAGTGTATCAGTTCTGATGCTTTCTACTGCAGAAAAGAGAATACCTAAGTAAAGAGGAGCTTCCATAATAAAAAGGTTTAATGATGTCATATAAAAGGAGGCCCAGGCGTAGAGGACAATTCTTGAGTTGGTTCATAGCACAGCAATGTCAATGATGATTCAGCCTCTTTTCGTCTCTCTGCTTCCCCATCCTCTGTATATTGGCTTGGTTCTCAAACTTGTTTCCTCATGGTCTCAAGATAGCTGCCTCTCTCTCTTTAGGAAGGACTATATATCACATTACACTTTTAGAATAAGAAAATAAGATATTGAAAAATCAAGTCATCCATGGTGTGGTAGTATGTAAAATGTTTCCAACCCCAGCAACCAGGGAAATTAAATGATCAGGGCAACTTTAATACAACAAATGACATTAGCATAAACAACATTTCTATATTTGCTCTAAATTTGGAAGTCATGTATTAAGGATGTTATTTAGTTGGTTTACATAAAACATCTCTACAAAATACACATATTAATCAATTGCTATATATGTTGTGTGTATAGACTGGGAATACATACTACCAAAGATTGGTCAACAAAATCACCAAAGAAAAATAAAAAAGGAGGGTAAGGGCTTGTCCAGTATATAACCCCAAGGCCTAATGCATTAGAAACTCATGCTTCTGTGTGAAGGTTCAAATGTCATGCTTTAGCTTAAACGATAGTACACTGATTTTCTGGTGAAACCTTTTTCTGCACCCTCATCAGCTTACTTTGCTTACGATAAGCTTGTCCCTAGTTTTGCTTACTTAAAATAAAAATAAAAGCATTTTATTTCCATCTTTTAAGTCTCTTAGATTCATCTTTACTTCTCTGATGATCAACCTATAGGTTGCCAAGCCAGGTCATGTAGCAGCCAAGAATCAAAGTGTCTGGTCTCTTTTCGTAATCATATCGCATCTCTGGATGGCTATATATTTTACACCAGAAGGAGGAGATTGTTTATATTTGGCTCTCGTCCTTCCTTAGTTTGCATTATAACCAGAAAATTATGCATTCTTGAGTTGAACCAGCTCACAAAATAACAAATGAGTAATGATACTTGGCTCTTGTTTTCCTTTTTTAATTTTAAAGGACATAAAGTGTGTTATCTCAGAGAATGTCAGTTTGCTGATTCAAATTTGGCCCTGCAGTTGAATCCAGCTGCCCTTTATAACTCTACTTTTTATATATTTCAAATTTCTTTCACATTCCAAATAGCATAAGTGAATGCATTGTCAAGGCCAAAATTGGGATTCCTGCTTGAATTCTTGTTGAGAACTCTTCCAATCTCAGAATGCGCTTCTGTAGGCCATGACCTTTTTCTCTTCATACTCCAGAACCTTAAAATCTGGGGCAAGTGGGACCCCTACATATTACCTGCCAAGGAGACGGTCTAGCTGAGAATTAACTCAAATGCATGTATTTTTATAAAGTTTCAAAAATGAGCTCCTAATATTATCCTTTGTCAATCATCTACTTATTATTTATTAGATTTCTATAGCACATTTTCTCCAAAGAGCTCAATGTATCTTAAACACATGTTACAATGCACTTTAAATAGGTGTTACCAAATTTGGTGTTATATGTGAGAAATACTGCTAAAATTATGAATTCCAACTGCAAATTATTGAAAGAATGAAAGGAAATTTCAACATCATTTAAAAATGATATATATGCATGTGTGTGTGTGTATATATATATATATATATATATTTTTTTTTTTTTACAGGCCTCTTAGCTCTGTCAGAACCTCTCTCTAAAAGAATTGCAAGGTTAGCTTTGCAACAGTGAATGTTACCTATAAATACAGGCACTTAACCGGTATTTGAAATGTTATGCAGTTTTGTTGTTTGTAAAGGATATGATGTTTCCTTTGATTTCTAGAAATACAACAACAGCCATTTCTGTCTAAATGTCAAGTGACAGCCCAACACGTCTTGGATGTTTATTAGGTTGGACTTATAGGGGTTCCCAACTCTTTTGCAGTTAATATGTTATTTCTTTTCCTTTCATCATAAGTATTGAAGCGAGACTGAGCGCAAGGGAGTTGTCATCAATGAGCTCTTGTCCCCTCAACAGCAGAGGGAGGAGAGTGTGAGGGTGATGGAGGCAATTACTCTCTCTCTCTTCTCTGAAGAGGAAAATAAACACATTATAATCTTTAAGTTAGAGGTAATTCAAAAAGTCAGAGGCAGGCAATGCCTTCTAATTTAGAGACATTTTCTCTTTCTTTGCCACTCCCTCCCCAAACTATAACAATAATAAAAGAAATCCCACAATCAAAGAACTCACTTCAACCCCCCCAGCCCAGCATCCTAGAAATCCCAAATTGTGGGCTTCAGTTGCATTCTGCCTTGTTCTTTTCTTTC